TGGTGAAGGTCGGAAAGGACTTTGTTTTCGAGGGAAAGGTATTGGAAACTGACGCATCTGACCTCTACAATAACATTCTGAAACCACTGGTGAAGGTCGGAAAGGACTTTGTTTTCGAGGGAAAGGTATTGGAAACTGACGCTCGTTACCATGACAACTCACATGACATAAAAAAAATCATTTGTGAAGATGACTGTTTCGCGTGATGTTACTGCATCCATCATCAGGGTGATTACCTCTGAAACCTCGATCAACACAGGGTTCGGCGTAACGTCCAAGAAGACAACCAACATCACACTCCCCACCGCGGCATCAAATGTGAAACAATCAAAAAGATTCCACCAAGGAATAAACAAATATTTGAGAACAGCTGTGTCCACGTGGCTCTCGAACAATGCAAAAACCCTTCATCACTGAGCTCCTGCTGATATCTTAACCGCAGGTAATCAACACATCGCTTTCGCCACACGCTCGTCATCTGTTCGCGTTTTTGAAAAAAAAAAAGTGTTGTGTTGGTTGGGGCTGTAATTAGTGCAAAGTCGCCGGCTGCGTTGTAAGCACGTACAAGTGGGTTGGATATCGGAGGGAAGTTTGTTATTGATATAGAGGCAATTGAAACATGTCCGGGTTACAATAACTACGTTATTGAGCTTGTTGAAGGAGTATTTGTGAGTAAGGTAAGTGGCGATTAATTGTGTCTGTAAAGATCTTTCTTTAATTTATTTGAATTTGTAAAATTTTGCTAATTTATTTTGTTTCTAATTATTTATGTATATTAAAGTAATTTTGATCTTATAGTTATTTTCAAGTAACTTAGTATTATCTTATTAGTTGTAACTTGTTTGCGTATTCATACATGTTTGTTACATGTCTCGTCTGAACTGGTAAATCTTGTGATATGCTTCATGTACCGCTATATATAGTACTTGATCTTATTTTTAAGTCTTTTTCTGTGAAATTGTTCCATAATACCTTTCTCTTAGTACGCTTTGTGTTCCCTTTATTATAACGTTTTTTATGCTCATTTATTTGGTGACTTCTTGGAAATAATTTTATTCGATATTGTCGAGTATTTGTTGATATTTATGTTGCACACCTAGGCACCGTTTCTTCATATTATATCCAATAACTTTTTTCTCTTATCTGCCCGTGTACATTCATACAAATGAGGAGTTTTCGACTCTATTCTGCCTTTGAAGGAAGTTATTTAATATTTGATATATGGTGGGTGATGCACTGATTTTTTCAAATGAAAAAGTGTTCATATGATATTATACTTTCTCACTTGTATTAAAACACTGTGGAGATAGCGATTTAATATGAACAATTGTTCAATTCAATACTTTGAGAATTCTACGAGTGAATTTCAGTGAAAGTCTTTATTAAATGATGAAATTTCTTAAATTTAGACATGACGAATGGAGGTGGGATACAGACAGACGAGATATATGTCTTATTTGTAATGAAGGCTGTGTAAAAGGTTTGATGATTTTTAATATGTCTCTTTAACTGGTTCCTATTCTGGGCTACATTTTGAAAAATGTATTCCATGCTGAGCCAGGCGAACCTAGCATACACACAAACACACCTAAGTTCTTCAAAACCCAATTTTATATTATGTCCCCGTCTACGCCTTGGTCTCCTATGTAGTATATTTCTAGACATATATTCCATTATGTAGATTCATGCAAGCTTTTAGTTAATCAGTTTTTTCAACATACTTGCGATGTAATGGAATGTGATTTATTTTAAAATCATAATGTGTTAAAGAAAATAATAATTATGGGCGACATTCCTAAATATGCAAATCTCTTTTCAGGCTAAATACGTCGGGACAGACGCTGATGATCTGTATAAGAATTTGCTGAAGCCTATGATAAAGACTGGAAATGATTTTATGTCTGAGGTACGTAGAATGTGAGGCGAAATGCCTTAAATTCATAGTGTCATCATTTTCGACATAATTTCCCTATCTCACGTTTTCGTGTGCCTTATACACATATGAATACACTGGACCATTTAGAGACCAGTTTTGCGCGATCATAGGTTAGTAACTTGAACATGAAAAAGTTAATGCTTTTTTCATAGGTTTTGTTACGCTAACTAAAAACATTGAATAATGTGTTACAATGCTTAATGCTTTCAATGGAATTGATAAAGTGTTACCTGCCTTTGACTCAAATAAACTGCCGCCTTCCTGAGAAGCTAATAGTCACTTAACAGTCAAGAAACTCGAAGGTTTATTACTGTGTTTACAAAGTCTTGCTTCAGTTAAATGTAGCCCACACCTTTATACATTTAAATATTAGTATTATTCTCATGTGATCTGTTCTTCTCAGGGTTACCATGTAAAATTTTTTAAGCATTTGTTATGTCTCTTACTCGTGCTACGTTTCATTCTTATTGGTTTAATCGCATTTAAATAAGATGATAGAGTTGCGTCATATTGTGAAAATATACATTTAATTAATTAATCTTGTCCGTCTAATCACAATTTAAAATTTAAAATTAAGATAATTAAAATACCATGTGATGCTCCTTATCGAAACATTCGATTTACATTTGGAATATCACTTTCTCACGCATTTAAATGTTTGGCGAATAGTACAGACGTGAATTATGAAGCAGATTTCATTGCAATATTTTTAATGTTTCAGAATCTCTGCGGTTTGAAGTTTATCGGGTGTGGGGAAGACATGTTGAAGCTACTCGAGATGATGCGGGTTTTCGAAGCGTCACCCATGTTTATGAAATCCCCAGGAACCATGATGGTAGCTGCTTCAGCTTAAAATCTTACATATTTATAGTTGCACAGGCAAACCTACTGCATGGACATTGCAACCCTTGCTTTATTTCATTATATATTTTAAAACTTTGTTAATTAAGTCCAGTCATCAGCTGAAATAGTGAAGTTTTATTGTACAGAATGGTTAAAATTAAATTCTGATGTGTAAATAGTAGATTATTGTAAATAATACTGTATGTAATTAGTGCCTGTTACAAATAAATTCACTTATTTTAAGACGAATTTCAAGTTATTTGATGATGGCCTGTGTTATACCATCGTGTATTGGAAATGTAGTTATTTTCTGCTCCACGCCCACATTGACTGCCGAATGACTTGTCTCGAGCATTATTCATTCAAAGGAATTAGACGCAAAAATTCTTACGGAACCTTTGCTGGTTTTTGAGGTTAAAGCTCTGATGTGATAGCACAGATCTAATTTTGATACCGACTCCAGTGTGTGTATTGCCGCAATTGAAGGGCTTTGTATTGTGTCTCTGTCAATCACTGACTTCGTCGTAACGAAATCCTGTTTGTGTTTTTATCGGTTTGATAATTTGAGCTGTCTTTGTAAGTAACTTAGTTCGGCCTACTTTACCTGAATACTTGGCCGTTTCATTTAGTCTCCGGAGGACACTGTTTTATGTTTTCTCCTATCCACACACAATCCACTAATTTCTTTTAATGATTGGCTTTGTCATCTTTACTATTTGGTTAATTAATTCAAATATTATAATGTAGGGGTCGTCGCTCCAATTTAATATCCCGTTTCATATTGAACTTTCAATGATCTTTGGTTGTCGTATTCAAGTTTGGACACGAATATTTTTTTACTGTTTGATTTGAGTAAGTAATTAAAACACAGTTATGATTAATCTTATGTTTCCATCATTATTTATTATTGTTACCCCTGATAAGTATAGCTCAGTCAGTATAGTGACTAGCTACGGGCTGGACGACCGGGGTTCGATCCCCGACGGGGGTAGAGGATTTTTCCTCTAGCCTCTGCGTCCAGACCGGCTCTGGGGTCCACCCAGCCTCCTCTACAATGGGTACCGGGGTCCTTTCCCGGGGGTAAAGCCGGCCGGGGCGTGATGCTGACCACTCACCCCCATCTAGTGCCGAGGTCAATGAAGAGACGAGCTATACCTCCACTCACCCCAAACGCCTACATGGCGTGTAGTGGGACAGCTTTACTTTTTACGTTTTACCCCTGATAAGTATCATCCGCTCTGTCCACGTCTCTGACGTAACTCAGTTTGCTCTCCCATTTGATCGAACCTTTTCTCCGCCTGTCTTCAGTCTATTATTCAAGTGAGTAGAGGAAATGCGAGGTTTCGTATGTAACAGATGCCCTACATAATGAACGCAGGGGAGGGGGTACTTCTGAAATGTTCTTCCTCTGTCTTTCACAAATGCAAAGAGTTTTCATCGTCAAACACTTCCTGGCTGACAGAATGAGGTTAGGAATACACTTCCCGATTCTCCTGTGCCAAACAAATCGACAATACCTTGTCAGGTGGAACCTTTCACACTTTTGCATCAAATATTAAGAAGACCGCGGTGGAGAAATGCAGAAAATTTGTTTTCTGATTTATATATATTAATTTAAAAAATATAACCTGTGCCAGGAAAGGGTTGCGTGACTTTTTTATCAACCTGTAGAAACCGGGTATCACACTCAGGTTATATAACTGCGAAGAGACTTCATAACTTTAAATGAGATGGGAAGGTGATCATGAATAGTGAGTGAGCAGTGTTAACCTACGCGTTTCAACTGGTTGAATCCCTTCATCTTTCTGACCACAATTTTGAATTTCTCACTTTAACCATTCGTGCTCTATTTTATGTTTCTGAAATCGGGCCAGTGGTTTACATATAAGAATATTTGTCTTATCTATCTTTTATTAAAGATGAATAGAATAAATGATTTGATGTTTTTGATTAAACGTGAGTCATTTTATTTGAAAACTCATTAAAAGATACGCTGTCATTAGTATAAAATGCTGCTTAAATCCTTTCGTATCGTGCCATTTCGTAGCAAGGTCACAGGAGTCCTGAGATTATTTTCGTGCCAAATTCAACACATTACAACAGATTCAGCACATTGCTACCTGATAAATGAGACAGTTTTGTCTTTTGTAAAATGTATTACATTTCCATTGCCTCGGTAATTATATTCAATTTTAACACTTGTCTGTGAACCAG